AGCCGCAGGCAGATTTTTTTTTTTTTTTTTTTGGACAAGGGCAGAAAGCAGCCATATTCTTCACTAAAATATCATAAGAATGGTTTCTAGACCACATACTTAGTCTTCTCTTTTGAAACCTCTTGAGCCAGGCCCCACAGTTCAAATCACCCTTAGAACCACTGTCTTCTATGCTTATACTTGTATGACCCATTAAGCCCCCCTTAAAGTGTCCAGTCACTGTCTAGTACAAAGTCCCAAAGTGTTTCATATTCCTTCAGGCATAGATATGGTCAGGCCAATCACAGCAATGCCTCACTCAGTCCCTGGTACTGACTTTTGTCTTGGTACCTGTGCCTACTCCAACAAGGGCACACCTTCTAATAATGCCATTCTCTATGAGCCTATGGTGGTTATTTTCATCCAAACCACAATACTTCATTCTCCAAAGTGGGCCTCTGTCTTGAATTACTTTTCATAGGCAGTATGTGAACTCCACATAGGGTTGTCAGGGCAGGAGACAGATAAGAATTCTGTAGCAACAGATTAATCTCATTTTATGCTTGAGGAAGTTATTAATGTTGTTCAATGTAGAACTTAAGTAAATGGTTTTTTGCGTAACGGTTGACGTCATGCTTCTGAATCGTTATTTTATTGAGGATGATCCCTCATATTCAGATAATATTTGTTTATACAGTGCCTCTATATAGTTACCCTAAAACTTGACAGTCTTTAACAACCATGTACATTGTTTCCTTCTTATCATTTTTGATGGTTTGGATGATATGTCTCCCATAGTCTTAGGCATTTGAATACTTGATCCTCATTTGCTGATGCTATCTGGGTAGGTCTAGGAGACATGGCCCTGACAGAGGAAGTATGTCACTGAGAGCAAGCTTTGAGGTCTCAAAAGCCACTGTCATTCCAGTTTTCTGTCTCTGCTTCATGCTTGTGGTTTAATATGTGAGCTTTCAGGGGAGACTAAGGAGAGGGGCAGCAATTGAGATGAAAATGAATAAATAAATTAATAAAAAAATGTGAGTTTTCAACTTGATCTAAACACTATGCCTGTCTGCTGGTAAGCTTCCCTGCTATGTCAGTGTAGGTGGATTCTTATCCCTCTGGAACCATAAGCACAAATAAACCTACCCTTTTTTGAGTAGCCTTGGTCATGGTGTTTTATTACAACAATAGAAAATTAACTAAGTGCTAGGCATGGTGGCACCTGCATTTAGTCTCAGCACTCCAGAGGCAGAGGCAGGAGGATTTCTGAGTTTGAGGCCAGCCTGGTTTACATAGCAAGTTCCAGTCTAGTGGAAGCTACTCAGTGAGGTCCTGACTAAAAAAAGGTAACTAATATAGAAGTTGGTACCAGGTAATAGGCTATTGCTGTGACAGACCTAACCAGGCTATTTTTTGGAGTAATGTAAAAGACTTTGGGACTTTGGACTAGAATACTGACTGGTTGGCTGCTATTTTAGTAGGAAGTCGGTAGACAGTACTTGTGAGAACCACAAGGACTGAGAAGCCAAGGTCAAGAGGCTTCATGTGGGGAATGCTAGTAACAACTGATCTTGAGAATGTTTTGGTGATATTTTGGGGAGAAGAGTGGCAATTTTCTGCCCATGTTTTATGAACTTACCTGAGGCTAAATAAAAAAGTAATGGGATAATTTTTATAGTGGAGATTTCAAGACAGCCTAATATTGACTGCCACATTGTTATTGAATGAAAAAAGAAATAAAAAAAAGAAAGGACATGACTGTTCCTAGGTATGGTGGAGGAGAAAGTTTATTGTAGATAAAAGGGAGAGCATAGGTAGTGTTGGACCTAAAGATCTGAAACCAGGGGACACGCTCCCCCAGAATCACTCACAGACAGGATTTGATGCAATAGCATGAGGTTTATTGATGATAAGATGATAACCAGTGTACTGGGGTTCCCCTGTATACAGACAAGAGAAACCCCGAGCTGAAGCTATAAGCAGCATATATACCATTTTTACAGAGTTTACAAGGACAGTTAATTATTTCTTTTTTTTTTTTTTTTTTTTTTGGTTTTTCGAGACAGGGTTTCTCTGTGTAGCCCTGGCTGTCCTGGAACTCACTCTGTAGACCAGGCTGGCCTCAAACTCAGAAATCCTCCTGCCTCTGCCTCCCAAGTGCTGGGATTAAAGGCATGCGCCAACCACCGCCTGGCTAGTTAATTATTTCTTAAACAATAACTATAAAGGATTTCTAACAACTGTTCCAAGGCCCAGTTTCTAAGTAACTCCAATTTGCACCTTATCTTTATAACAATGATGGTTAGCTTACATGGCTTCTGTTTACCCAGGTGTTCTGTGTTAAGGGCCCAGCTTCTTGACTACCCCTTATCTTGGGCCCTTCCTCTGGAATGTGTCTTTGGAACGTGCTTCTCCCAGGATGTGTCCTGGGGCAGTTAATGTTTGAACCGAAACTCAAACTTAAGGGTCTTTAATTTTAAGTTCAAGCTGAGACCTGAAATTACATTCTCACATTCCCCCGCCTTTTTCTTCTGGCTGATTCCAACCTTGGAATCACAAGTCATCATCTGGGAGTACAGTGTGATATTGTTGTCTAAGCATGAGCACTTGTACAGTATTAATGCACTCTTTAACAAATTTAATCAAGCGATTAAAAATGTAAGGGCCGCCTGGCAGTGGTGGCGCATGCCTTTAATCCCAGCACTTGAGAGGCAGAGGCAGGCGGATTTCTGAGTTCAAGGCCAGCCTGGTCTACAGAGTGAGTTCCAGGACAGCCAGGGCTAAACAGAGAAACCCTGTCTCGAAAAAAAACAAAAACAAAAACAACAACAAAAAACGTAAGGGCCAAAGGTGAGCAATAACAAGATTATAAGGGGCTCCATTATGGCTGAAACCAAGTTAGTGAACCAGGGAGATTTATTAAACCACGACTCAAAACATCTTAGATTCTGCTCTCTTTTTCTTTGCCTCTTAACTAGCCTCTCTTGGACCTTGACCATGGAATCTTTGATTACTCCCAAATGATCTATATAAAAACAACATTTTTCTTTTAAGGCTGCACATAACCTGCCTTGTTGGAGAAAAAAGAGATCTAATCTTCTCCTGTTCTGCATGACTCAGACAGAGAAGCCAAAGACTCCTATAATTTAGAGATTGAATCTTCCATAGCCTGAATATCTACATCAATAGCCTCTCTAAGTCCCTGATAGTACTCAGGCTGTAGGGCTAGGGCTGTTCCCCCCGGTAGCTACTCCTGCGCCCATTCCCAAGCCCAAGAGGACAGCGAGAGTTGTGCTAACAGGTTCTATCTTGAGCTTGAGGAGTCCTCCTTCCCAGGCATCTAGGAGATCATTCTCACCATGGTAGGTATATCAGCCTAGGCACTAGCTGGACCATAACACAGAAGTCTTGGTTTTGGTGCAGCACCCTGGAGTTAACACAGGGGGTAAGTCCTGTTCTACATGCCCACCAACCGTCTTCGGGGGGAGTAGGTGACTAGCACTGTCTTCTGGTGCTACCTGGATGGTGGCATTACACAGGCTGATAATCTTGTAGCCAACTGGCAGACATCTGGGGTTAGCAGGGGCCACCAGGTATATGGGGCTGCCGTCTTTGAAGTGGACCAAATAACGTCTCCAGTTTGTGAAAGGACCTCCCACATTAGCTTTTGGGGGACACGAGGGTTACCCTCAAGGGCTAGTCCAGGCCTTCCCGCCAGAAGCAAGATCATGGTTCAGACCATGAGTACCTCAGGTTGAATCATGTTAGTCAGCTCAATCTATCTTGAGTGGGTTTGGAGTGCGACGGACTGTCCAATTGGGCAATGGTCCCTCTGGGGCTGGTTTCACATGAGAGGCGTGTATCCAAGCTGATATCCCATCAACCTTTACAGCAGTGGGAGTAGTCAGCAACACCAGGAATGGTCCCTTCCAGCACAGTTCTAGAGTTTGGGCTCAGTGCCACCAGACGTAGATTGCGTCTCCAACCTGGAAATTATGGAATGTTTCCAGGGTCCCTGGTTCATAGGCGTGGGCCAGCAGAGTCCACACTTCTTTCTGTACCGCCTGAAGTCCTTTTAACCTAGCATACAAATCACTATTACTATGACAAGTAAGTCCAGTCACCTCTCCTAAGGTGGTCAGAGGAATGAGTGCCCCATACAGAATCTCAAAAGGAGTTAAGTTAAACCTTGAAGGGGTGTTTCTAACTCTAAAAAGAGCCAGAGGAAGGAGCACCACCCAGTCTGTACCACTAGTCTCCATGGACAATTTAGTCAAGGTCTCCTTTAAATTTCTATTCATTCTTTCTACTTGACCTGAGCTTTGGGGTCTGTAAATGCAATGAAGTTTCCAATCAATCCACAGGTACTTGGCCACTCCCTTATTTACCTGGGCAACGAATGCAGGCCCATTGTCTGAATCGATTACCTTAGTTACCCCGAACCATGGAAAGATTTCTTCTAGGATCTTTTTCACCATCACCATTGCCATTTCTTTCTTTGTTGGAAAAGCCTCTACCCAGCTGGAGAAGGTGTCTACAAATACTAGGAGGTACTTATTACCATATCTGGTGGGCTTGATCTCTGTGAAATCCACCTCCCAATAGACTCCTGGTCTGTCACCTCAGAGGCGTTTGCCAAGGTCGGCCTTGGTTCAGCAAGCATTTACCTTTTGAAAGAGTACATATGCATGTACGATATCCTCAACCAGCTGTGTAAGTCGAAGTATGTGAAACTTGGTGTTTAACATGGTAGCCACAAGTTTAACCAGTGTTTAACCAGGGTCCACTGGTGCATCTGCTTCACCATCTCCTCTGCCTCTTTCTGGGGCAGAATTATCTTTCCAGCTGGGGTTTTCCAAACCCTCAAGTCCTTATCAAACTCCTTTTCGACTTTAGTCATTAAGGCCAAATCTTGGGCCATATATAGAAATGGAGGTGTGGGTTCAGCTTTACTTTCTGTCACAGCCATGGCAAAAACTGTTTCAACTGCTACTCTTCTCTCTTCTCTGTCAGCCATGTTATTTCCTTTTGCAACAGCTGAGGTCCCTCTTTGTGGCCAGTCCAGTGGATGCACTCACTATAGAGGGCTGATGTAGTGCCCTAAGTAGCTCTAAAATCTCAGTCTTATTCTTAATTTCTTTTCCAGCTGACATGAGGAGCCCTCGCTGCTGGTAGATAGCCCCATGGATGTGGGCCATAGTGAAGGCATATCTACTATCTGTGTAAATATTAACCTTCTTATATTTTCCCAATTCTAGAGCTTCTGTCAGCACTATCAGTTCAGCCCTCTGGGCAGAGGTACCCTCGGGTAGTGCCTGTGCCCATATTACTTTTTGTTGATCCACCACTGTGGACCCGGCCTTCCTTTTCCCATTTTCGAGGTAGCTGCTACCATCTGTATACCAGGTTACCTCAGCATCCTCCAGAGGCTGATCACTCAAGTCCTTTTGCCAGCCATGTGCCTCCACAAGCACTTGGTGGCAGTCATTGGTTGGTGCTCCGATATTCGAGTCCAGCAGCAAGGTGGCTGGGTTCAGCCCACTGGCCGGGTTGAAAGTGATCCTGTCTGAATTTAGTAGCAAAGTCTGGTAGTGAGTCATCCAGGTGTTAGTGAGCCAACGATTGAGGGGCTGGCGGATGACGCTCTCCAATGCACGAGGAGCAGTCACCACCAAACCCTGCCCCAGGGTCAACTTGTCAGCGTCTTTTACTAGGGTCTCCACTGCTACCACATTTCATAGGCAGACAGGCCACCCAGCAGCTACAGAGTCTAATTTCTTTGAGAGGTATGCTACTAGTCTTTTCCAGGGCCCCAGCTTCTGCATTAGGACCGCTTTTGCTACCCCTCCATTCTCTGCCACGTACAAGTGGAAAGGCTTGGACACATCAGGAAGTTCCAGGGCAGGGCTGACATAAGAGCCATCTTGGTAGTGTCAAAAGCAGCCTGCTCTTTTTCTCCCCACTCAAATGGCCTATCATTTTTAGTCAATGGATAGAAGGGTGCTGCCATCTCAGCAAACCCTGGGATCCATAATCGACAGAATCCTACTGTTCCCAGGAATTCTCTTACTTGTTTGGCACTACAAGGAGGGGGGATGTGAAACACAGTCTCTTTTCTAGCCTCTGATAGCCACCGTTTTCCATCTCTAAGTAGATATCCCAAGTAACTGACCTGTTTTCTGCAGATCTGGGCCTTCTCAGCAGAGGCCCTGTATCCTAGTTTCTCCAGTTCAGTTAGTAACTGACGAGTTCCATGGAGGCATGTGTCTCTGTTAGGGGCAGCCAGAAGGATGTCATCTACGAATTGAAGAAGGGTTACTTGGGGGTTTCTGCTCTAAACAGGGCGAGATCTTGGTGTAGAGCTTCGTCGAAGATGGTAGGGGAGTTCTTGAACCCCTGTGGAAGCCGGGTCCATGTTAATTGTCCAGATATTCTTGATTCCGGGTCCTTCCATTCGAAAGTGAAGATTGGTTGGCTTCTCGGGCTCAGTTGGAGACAGAAGAAGGCATCTTTAAGAATCCAATACAGTGTACCAAGTCCTTTCTTGGGGAAGAGAGCTCAACAAATTATATGGGTTTGGTACTGTGGGATGTAAGTCTGTCACCCATTTGTTTACTTCACGGAGATCTTGCACAGTGATCAGGTACCAGTAGTCATTGGTACCTGGCTTTCGTACTGGAAACAGGGATGTGTTCCATGCTGACTGATACCTTTTAAGTATCCCCAAAACTAGCAATCTGAGGATATGAGGTCTAATTCCATCTTGGGCTTCCTTGTTCATTGGATACTGATGGACTGTTACTAGAGTGGCCAAGGCTTTTAGCTCAGTGTGGACCACTAGCTGGTTCTTAGCCTCACCCATGCCTGGGATTTCTGCCCATGCTTGTGGAAACTGGTTCAGCCACCAGTCCATATCTCCGGGATTCTCTTTTGGGTGGTCAAAGAGGCGGTATTCATCCTTGAGTTTTACAGTCAACACATGCAACATATTTCCTTGTCTATCTTTTACTTGGAGGCCCTCTGGGAGGAAGTGGATCTGGGCTCCAACCTTTGTAAGCAGGTCTCTGTCCAGGAGAGGGTAGGGGAATTCTGGAATGACTAAGAACAAGTGGGACACCCAGCCCACGCCGAGGTCCACTGTCCTTCGGGTGGTCCATGAATATTGTTTATTGCCAGTAGCTCCCTGGACCCACAACCTCTTGTCAGACAATGGGCCCATGGTTTGTAGAAGGACTGAATGTTGAGCCCCAGTGTCCACCAAGAACTGAGTGGGCTTCCCCTCCACTCTCAAGGTTACCCTGGGCTCAGGGAGGGGGTCCGAGTCCCGTCCTCCCTAGTCACTGTCCTCATCCAGGGCCAGTATTTTGTGGTGTGGGGGTTCCTCTCTGGCTTGGTGGGGCCCATTCCGCCTTTTCTTCAGGCAACCTGTTGCCCAGTGCCCTTTCTCTTTGCAATAGGCACACTGATCCTTATCCAAAGGCCTCCTTCAGTTGCCCAGTACTCTCTCACTTGGCTCTCGACTTTCTCTAACTACTGTGGCCAAAATTCTAGTCAAGTTCTTTTCCTGTCTTTTTTCTTTCTATAGTTCCCTAGCTTCCTGCTCTTTGTGCTTTCTCTCTTCTCTCTCTTCCTCAGTCTCTCTGTTATAGAACACCTTTTCAGCTACCTGCACCAAATCTCTCAAAGACTTGTCTTGTAATCCATCTAACTTCTTCAGCTTTTTCTTAATATCACTGGCAGATTGGTCAATAAAGGCTACTGTCACTGTTGCTTTATGCTCATCAGACAACAGGTCATAAGGCGTGAACGGGTGAAACACCTCCCTCACCCATTCTAGGAAGACTGAGGGGGATTCAGTAGGCCCTTGGACCGTCTCTCTTGCCTTGGCCAAATTAGTGCGGCACCATGCAGCCTCTCGGAGACCTGCCATTAGAGATTGACGATAAACTTTCAAGTGCTCCCTTCCATTTGGAGTGTTGAAATCCCAATCTGGTCTGGTCAGTGGAAATGTTGCATCTATCTCATTTTGCAGGAGTGTAGGTCTTCCATCTGTCCCAGGGATGTTCTTCCTGGCCTCCAAGAGGATATGCTGTCTTTCCTCGGTAAAGAGTACCTGTAAGAGCTGCTGACAATCATCCCAAATGGGCTGATGTGAAAAGAGGAGGGAATCAATCAGGCCGATCAGAGCCTGAGGGTCCTCAGAAAAAGAAGGGTTATGAGTCCTTCAGTTATAGAGATCTGCCGACAAAAAGGGCCAAGAGGGAAGACAGTGATTTCCAGGGCCACCACCCGCCTACTCCGAGTTCTGGCAGCCGGACCCTCTTGGTTCCCTTCTGCCAGGGGAGCGGAGGGTTCCGCTGGAGCTATGGCCCCCTGTGCCATTGGGGCTGCAGCCCCTGCACTACCACTGTGGGGAACGCTGTTGGGTAAGGGGGAGGAGGATCTAATAAAAGGTAGTCAGCATCTGAGGTAGGTAAGATCTTCTTTTCTCTCACAGGACGTGAGGCTTTCTTCTCCTCATCACCGTCTTTCAACTCGAACACCTTGGTCTTCAGTGGGCCGGAAAGTGAAACAAACGGGCAGACCCACGAGGCAGGGGGAAGGGAGAGAACCAAGTTTTCCCAGACAGTTATATAGGAGATCTGGTCTGGATGCCCACCAGGACCCTCTGAAAAATTCTTCCTTTAATCTGTCTAACTTTCTCTAGAAAGAAGGATCCCTCCAGTGGCCATCCCGTTTGATAAGATGGCCACTCTGAAGTGCACAATGTCTGCCATTTCCGTTTCTTCACTCCTACTGACAGGTTATGAGCTCTAGCCTTAAACTTCAGTCCAGTAGTCAAGAATCAAGGGTAGTGGGGTAGAGAGTGTCTGTCCCATGGTAAAAAGTTGATCATCAGTGCAATACCACAAACAATGTGCAACACAAACAAAATACACGAACAAAATCAGACACGGACCTACTGCCACGAGAGAGCAACAGATGCTGCCCTGGGCAGCTGGGAGACCAGTTGGAGAATCCTATCTCCCAGAAGGACCCTGGAGTGTCCCCCAGCATCCCGTGACCTGCAGCATGCTGACATGTCTACCACGCTGCTTAGTCACCCCCGAAGAGTTCCTTTCCAGAACTCAAGAACCTGACCCTTTCCCAGGATCCAAAACAGACTGCTCTCCCCAGGCACTGAAACCAGGCTATACACTTCACAGGCACAAAACACCAAACAGAAAACACACAGAGCTGCTCTAGTGAACATCTCCGATCTCTGAGCTGTGGGGATCTGAAAGAGCGAATCTTGGTGGGACCTCCAAAATGTTGGACCTAAAGATCCAAAACCAGGGACCATGCTCCCCCCAGAAACACCCACAGACAGCAGATTCAATGCAATAACATAAGGTGTATTGATGATAAGATGATAACCAGTGCACTGGGGCTCCCTTGCGCACAGGTAAGAGGAACCCCAAACTAAAGCTAAGGGCAGTTTATATACCATTTTCACAGAATCCATGGGGGCAGTTATACAATTACCTCTTAAACAATAACCAAAAAGGCTGACATAAACCACTGTTCCCAAGCCTGGTTTCTAGGTAACTCAGATTATCATATTATCTTTATAACAATGAGTGTTAGCTAAGAGGCTTCTCTTTGCCCAGGTGCATTATGTTGTGGGCTCATCTCCCTGATAAACTCTTATCTTGGGCTCTTCTTCCTGGAATGTATGTTTGAGTCTTTAGAATGTGCTCCTCCTGGGATGTGCCTCTGGGGCAGCTAATGTTTGAATGTAAACCTAAACTCAAACTTAAGGATCTTTTAATTTTAAGTTCAAGCTGAGACCTGAAATTCTTACATTCTTACAAAAACAGCTAGAGAGGTGCAAGTGTTTTAGTAAGTAGAATTGCCCATGTGGTTGAGCCCAGAAGATAGTAATAGGGAAATGCCCACATGGTTGGCAGTCCAAAAGGACATAGGAGGTGAATGCTCAAGTGATAGGTGGCCAAAAAGGGAGAGAGGACACTTACTGAGTAGGCTGAGGAGAGAAAGATTGTTAGTTAAGGTGGAGGGGAGAAACTGCTGAAGAGGGAGACTCTAGAATCAAACAAATGTTCCTTTCATAGCTTAGGAGAGTCAGATCAGCAGCTTGGTTTGGAGAGTCCAAATTCCTTGTGGAGGGAACGTATTTAAGTCACTCTCGGGTTATAGCATCAGATGAATGAAAAAAGAAATAAATTATTTATTTTAGATAAAGTAGAGAATTTAGGTAGAGAAAGTGTAATGGCTATTCCTGGTTGTCAACTTGACTATTATCTGGAATGAACTACAATCCAGAATTGGAGGGCTCACTTGTGATCTAGATCTTGAGGCTGGGAGACACAAGTTTCTGACCTAAATCTTTGCATGGAGATCTTGAGGCATAGTGGCCATGAAAAGCTTAGGCCAAGGCAAGGTATTACACACCTTTAATCCCAGGAGACTGAGGCAAGCAGCTGAGTTCAAGGTCAGCCTGGGACAAAACAAGTCCCAGATCCAGGCATGGTGGTATGCACCTTTAATCTGGGCCACACCTTCTGCTGGAGACCTACATAAGGACATTGGAAGAAAGAAGACTCATTCTTTTTCACTTGCTTGCACTTACTTGCCAGCACATCTGTTGGAACCTACTTCTTCAGGATTTCAGTTTATACAGAAGACCAGCTGAAACAACTAGCTTTTTGGGACTGAGCAAGTACTAGATTCTTAGACATCCACAGCTGCCCATTGTTGGGTTAGTTAGACTGCAGACTGTAAATCATTACAATAATTTCCTCAATATAGAGAGACATTCCATAAGTTCTGTGACTCTAGAGAATCCTGACTAATACAGGAAGGGACATCTGAGAGAGTCTAGAGTGGACATGACCAGGTTGATCTGGACCATGTGGGGAGAAGGGGCAAGGAATGGGATGCAACAGCCAGGAGGCCAAAATACAAAAGGGAACAGATAACCAAAATGTCTGGATTTCACCTTGAGGTGAAGGGCCAGCCAGCCCCTGGGCTGTTGAGGTCAGGGTAGAGAGCATAATATGTGAGCCATACCCTGTAATGAGTAGGGACTGGTGGATGGTGGGAAAACCTGGAGGCTAATTCCATTTTGATGTTAAATAGGCACCTCAGCTGTTTGTCTTGGGTTTGACATTTAACCAACACAGCTATAGACAAGTCACTAATAGACTGTTTCTATGAGTCAAGAGTTCAGGATTAACTTCACCAGGTAATTCTTTGCTGTTTCTTATACTGCTGCTTTCAGGATGTCAACTCAGTCTGTTACCATTTGAAGACTCAGTTAGAGCTGAAGCTTCTATTTATTATTTATTATTATTTCTTTTAAGAAGTGACCTTCTTAGCTGGAGAGATGGCTCAGTGGTTAAGAGTGGTTAAGTGGTTGCTCTTCCAGAGGTCCTGAGTTCAATTCCCAGCAACCACATGGTGGCTCACAACCATCTGTAATGGAGTCTGAAGCTCTCTTCTGGCACACAGGTGTATGTACAGATAGAATGCTCATATACATAAATAAGAATATATTGCCGGCAGTGGTGGTGCACGCCTTTAATCCCAGCTCTTGGGAGGCAGAGGCAGGCAGATTTCTGAGTTCGAAGCCAGCCTGGTCTACAGAGTGAGTTCCAGGACAGCCAGGGCTATACAGAGAAACCCTGTCTTGAAAAACCAAAAAAAAAAAAAAAAAAGTGACTTTCTTAAAATAGAGGGTCACTAAAGGGACTGGCAGTTTCATAGTTGTTGTGGCATAAGGCTTTATGATTGACTTAGAGTTTTTATTGCAGAGATGAAACACCACAACCAAAGAGCAAGTTGGGGAGGGAAGGGTTTATTTGGCTTACACATTTTGCTGTTCATCATTGAAGGGATTGCCCCTCCCCCATATTGATCACTAATTTTAAAAACTGCCTTATGGCCAAATCTTATGGAGTGGAGGCATTTTCTCAATTGAAGTTCCCTCCTCTCTAACAATTCTTGCTTGCAACACATTACATAAAAGTTTTATTTATTTTATTTATTAATAAAGTTTTAATTTTTTTACTATTTAGTTTTTTGTTTTATTTTTTTATTTTATTTTTTTCTTTTTTTGGTTTTTCGAGACAGGGTTTCTCTGTGTGGCCCTGGCTGTCCTGGAACTCACTCTGTAGACCAGGCTGGCCTCGAACTCAGAAATCCGCCTGCCTCTGCCTTCCAAGTGCTGGGGTTAAAGGCGTGCGCCACCACTGCCCGGCTAGTTTTATTTTTTGTATATGGGTATTTTGCCTATATGTATAGCTGTGTACTATTCATGTGTCTGGTGCCCATGAAAGCTAGAAGAAGGGATTGAATCACTTGGACCTGGAGATACATATGCTTAGAACTACCATGTGGGTGCTGGGAAATGAACCCAGGTCCTATAGAAGAGCAGTAAGTGCTCTTAACCACTGAGTCATTGCCCAAGCCCCCGTTACAGTTGGTTTTTAAAATTAATTATATTTACTTACCTTATGTTTTTGAGTATTTATTTGCATGTCTATATACTACATGCATGCCTGGTGCTCAGATACCAAAAGGAGGCATTGGATTTCCTAGAGCTGGGGTTCTCAAGCTCCTAGGCATCCAGTCGCTGCTGGAAACCACATGGAGTCAGTAATGAAGGGTTGGGGTCCATGTCCATGGGCCCACAACAAAGAGCTCAGGACCCATGGGCTCCTAAGACCCTGGACATCCAGATATGCTGCTGGGCTGCAGGGAGTTGGGAATGGAGTTGGGGGTCTATGGGTATATGAAGAGGCCAGGGCCAGGGGCAGGAGCATTCCGGTTTGGCTAATTGGTGGAAGTCCTTAGTTTAGCAGAGCACAGAGGGGCCTTCTGTGGGAGGCTTAGGCAGCACAGCTCTGTAGGCGAAGGCCTTCTCCATGCTCCCCATGGTTGGTTCCAAACTGTGTATTGATTGTTCATGGTGGAAAATGGGTGCATACCACCTTCTCAGGGTGGACCAGAGATTAAATACCTTCTGCAGGAAGGAATGTTTAGCTTATTGGCTAAACCCTCAGGGCCTCTAAATACCTCATTAGCATGGAGAACTTATTCTGGGCTATGTGACCACAGGTCATGTTTCCTATGTGGGAAGTAGGGCAAGTGTTCCAGACCAGGAATCTGATAGGAAGCAGGGAGCTGTCTACCATCTCAAGTGGGTGCCTGGGTGCCAGGGACTCTGAACCCACTCAACCTTGCCAAATTTTCTGGCATGTTCTACTGTCCCTCAATCATCATGGTGGAAAG